GAGTTAAAAGAAAATTCTTTCAATATTATACGTAATTATAGACCGATAATTAAATTCTTTCAGGCTCTTATTAACCGACTTCAAAAAAAGGAGGAGGTTCTCAATTCGTTGGGGACTTTTTTTTATGTATGTTCCCCATTACTCGAAGATGGCTGGACCGATTTGGAAAATTCTTTTTTTGTTTGAAAGGGTATAGTTTCCAGGTGGTCACATAGTCACCAAGTCACGATCTGATGATGGGATTTCAGGGAAATCGAAGGCAAATCTTAAATTTTATAGGCACTTATTACGTTTTTCATATATTTTTGTGTTGTTTGAAAGTATATACTTCCAGATTGGTCCCATTTAAATTTCAAAAAAAAAACCACCCCTAAGGGTGGAAAAATAGCTAATGATGCATTTAACCTACTTCTAATTGTCATATTGACTTGACACTTTGCAAGTGTTTCAATTTCCGTTGATAGTACAGTGGTTCGGTATTGTTGACCTGATCTGATGGTAAGGCCAGAAGATGGATAGGTGGAACTCTTCAACGGCTAATAGTAGATACTTTGAGTTTGGGCTTATTTTGTTTGATTTGACAAGCCTAACACGTTAGAATTCTTACTTTGCTACTACTGTCTACACTAAAAAGGGAAAAATAAAAACTTTTTAACAAAAAAGAAAAACCGACTTCAAACAAAAGCACTAAAAAGTAAAAAATAACTGATTGGTAGTTTTCATTTACTATACATACCTTATCAAATATTATCGAAGTCGGTGTGCTTTGGCTAAATAATTAAAGCCTACCTATTAAATACATACCTAATCAAATATTTTCGAAATCGGTGTCAGTCCATACAAAGCAAAGCACACCGACTTCGACAATATTTGATTAGGTATGTATAGTAAATGAAAACTACCAATCAGTTATTTTTTACTTTTTAGTGCTTTTGTTTGAAGTCAGTTTTTATTTTTTGTTATTAATATATTATGAGTATGCCCATAAACTTTATACTTTCTTATTAGTAAACGTATGTATCTTTTAAATCATTATTTTTCAAGTATCATTCCAAAGCGTAGAGGTTATTTATCCAATGTAGAGGTTAAATGTATTGTATTGACAGTGCCGAATTGTGAATGGCGTAGATAACGGCACAATAGGCCGGAGATGCGCGCGGACACACACAGCTTTACAACCTTCGCTGCTTTGTTATTGAAATAGCTACAAAAATTAAGACTAGTGCTCCTCTTAATTAGGGTATTTTAATAAAAATTAAGATTTTATTAGCTGATCCTAAAGATGTTATCCTGTGCAATTTTCAATTCATTTGTCTTCCTACAAAAATCATTTTCCGGGCAGCTTTTCCCTTTATAACCTTATTCGAACTTCTATTAATATTAAAGAAAGAAATTAGTGAAGACGATTTTGAAACTTTAACCGTTTTTACTTTTTAAGGTTCCGTAGTTAATAAGGAACCCTTAAGGTTTCGCCATGTCCGTCCGTCTATCCGCAGCGTAGCTCAGAGATTCTGAGTACATATTAGAAAGCACGCAGAGTAAAGTGTTAGCGTATTTTGGATATGTGAAAAAAATCACGGTAGTAGTAGGTAAAAATATAACGAAGTTAAAAGGAAAAACTATCACAGCAAAGGAGACTTTACAAGTTTACGAGTAATAGTCGACCAACTTATAAAATGTACTTGTTGCTATAAGCCGCTGAAACCGTTAGCGTTAAATGTTCATAGTATGAACAACAAAAAGCCCACTTCTTAATCCACATTATTACGATGGGCAACTACGGAACCCTACATTGCGCGTGGCCCGACGCGCACTTGGCTGGTTTTTTCAGTTGTCATTTCCTGTAAATGTCGGGATTTTGTGTTGAATATCGATATAATTACTGATGTTAATGAATATCTACTGATGTTATTTACGTGCTTATTTGTTCTTAGCAGTTAGCAGTGGTTACACATCCAACACTATGACACGACTGTCTCTTAAAAAAAGACAGTGATTTTTTATGCTATTTTTCATAACAAAGGGTTGCTTATCTGCCATTATTCTCTCTGTCACACAATTTATTTCGCCTATCTGATCAAATAATACACGCGTTTCCCTTGTAACCACGAACGCATAATGGTTGCAACAGGTGGATACAAGGGTGCGTGCAGGGGAGCGGCACTTGTTGCACAATTTATACGACACTATTGCGATTAATGTTATAGCTATGTTTATATTGCCATGGAACTATAGTATGAAATCTATCAGTTATTTTAACTATTTCAGCATCTTTAAATACTTAACTCATTCTAAAAATACTGCCACTTCGCTATTTCTTTCTAACTTCTCAGTAAGAATATATGTATTAGCACATATAGGTATTTGTTTTTTTTTATTCCTATATATAGTATACTTTAAGTTACACTTTTAGTATATTTTTTAATATTTTTACAATAACAAGTACCTAAGTGTGACTACAATAGAATCGAATAATAAAAGCTCGAGCCATTTTTACCAGCGCCGCTATTGTTCGTTTGAACTTGGAACGTCGCGTGACGTAAACGGCGCGTGCGACGTTTCGCATTCAAATCGCCGTCTTCATAATTACTCCAATAACTGTTACTAACGTTCTCATTAGTTAAATTACACTACATGATATATGCAATTTAAGCTGCCGTAAACATGATAGTCTTGCGAATAAATGTGTTAAAACGATGGTTTAATTATCCAAGAGTTTAGTGCTGGTCACTATGAAATACCTTAGGTACATACGATATTTTATGTAATGATAGCACAAAGTTTTTAGACTATGATCCAGATTTCTTGATTTTAAGTAGGTTTTAATATATTTTTATAGGAAGATCATATTATCTATACATATAATAAATTGTAACTAAGCCGAATCTGTACATTAAATATTTTTTGGAAAATCTTATTGAAATAGTCATTACGAGTATTATCGATACCGAGGCCGAATCTAAGTTTTTAGAATTTTTGTCTGTCTGTCTGTCTGTTACCGCATCACAGAAAAACCACTGGAGGGATTTTGATAAAATTTGGTATGGTGATAGCTAGTTATCCGTGTCAACATATAGGATAATTTTTACCGCTGGAAAATATCTCGTTTCTGAGAAAAAATGCAAAAACTGCAATGTAAGAGTATACTAATCTGTAAAACCTAAGAATTTGTTTTTAATCATCTGAACGCTGGCGAAGCCGCTGGCAGTGCTAGTATTATATATAAATTAAGCTTAGGTACTGCAAGAGTTACTGCCTTGTTTTAGGTTCGTAAGACTAGACGCAAAGTCGCACACACACAAATGTTATTAGGTAATTATAGACATATTTTATTACTGAGACTAAGTTAACAAATAATTATACAGAAATAATTTCAACAAAGAACAATATATACACGTCATAAAAGTAGTTACAATACCATAAACATAACACAGGCTAAGAACCACTAGAGTTTAGATACGGATTTTAAAACAGTAGTTAACAATAGTGGGTACATTAATCTAAAGATCTGTAACGTTGATCACGAATGTAGGCGAGAGACCTTTGCTCAATGACAGAGGCGGCGCGGGCGCATCATCTCATTGAGCGCGCACCGGATGAGCCAATCAGCGGCGTGAATGGACGCCCCCGCGCATGCGCGCTGATGCTGCTCGGTGCGTTATTAGCTCCCGTACTAGATGCCTTCTTCTTTGTTATACCAGTAAATTGTTATGACTTTTTATGGCCCCCGTGTGAGATGAGTCGTAAACGTTCCTACTGTTGCTTCATTGACATCATTATTGTCCGCTTGAGAAGCTCTCAAATTTATTGTGACGTTTTCGGCCGATCATTTTAGATAACATGTAAAACTATTAGATTTGTCGGCTAGGATCAACTGAAAGGATACCTAAAACGGTATTCTTGTATTACACATTGATGCCTTTATGGAATATAAATATTTTAATACACCATAAAAAGAATAAGTACTAATGTAATAAGATTTGCTGTAGTCACAAAGAAGTAATTTCTCACGAATCGTAGATACAAAGAAACGCCACTTAACAGTCTCTTCAGTAAAGTTAGAAATATAAAAATATTCTTCAGTAACGAATCTTAGTCGCAAGGTCTTCACTTTCAAGATCAGCAGAGCATGCTCAAATCATAATTATGGTAATAACGCTTGCGCAACTTTACTGCCCTAAGGTAAACACGCGATGTTACGGACTATGCTATTTAGATATAGGATAAAATTTACTCAAAACAATTAAAGCCGTATCTCGTTTTTACTATAATTGACGCTTTAATGATGTTGGTGTAAGCGGCAATTTTTACCGTAACTTAGGTGTTGCATAAAAGAATATCTAAATAGTGAAGTCTACACACAATCCAGCTAAAGTGAAAATGAAATGAGAATAGACCACGAGAAAATACGCGTGCAACTGTAAAAAATTAAAATAAATAACTTTTTAGATATGTTTCGCAGCAAAATTGTATATGTATAATGTATATATTTTCAAGGGGTGTTTATTGAAGCGGTGCAATCCGCTATTACAAGCATTGATAGACGTATTCATATATTTCTTACGGTCACGCAGTGTTCACATTCGGGACAAGAGCAGGCGAAACCGAGAGCGTTGCGTCACTGAGGATGATACATCGCTTTTCACAACCGACAATAGTGTTGCGAATTCCAATTCTGCAAATGGCCGAACACTGGCATTACGATTGACAGTTGCTGCTTTTAATTATATTATGATACTCATTTATTATATTACTTTATCGTCGTAAAGATAATTTTCATAAAATAACTTCCTATGAAAAATGTCATAGATTTAATTAGTTAAATGCTTATAAATATATTCATTATTATCAGACTAATATATTCTATAAGAACTAAAACTTAAATATATTAAAAAACGTCGAGGGCGATATAATAAAGCAGTAATTTATTTCTTAGTGGAGTGGCACCCTCTCATTGTGCTTTAAAAGCGCTAAATACTTGTTCAGTGAGGAATACTAACCTTTTGGCTTATTGAAAGCTTTCATCATGACTTTGATTCCCATGCCTGCAATTGCCGCCGTTGCTATCTTGTCTGGTGCGGGCTCTTGATTTTTCAATTGTACCCGCTAGCAGGTTTTAGACTATGTGTTATATATTTTTTGTCCTTTGAGCACTTTTATATTTACAAATGTCTATAATTTACAATATATTAATACTAATTTACTTTAATAAGATCAATAAATATCACACTTATTTTTTTAACTGAGTTTTAAAATGTTATTATTGTAAACACTCTTCACTGTTTTTCATTTTGCCGGTAAACTTTTGTTACGTCACCGTTGAATAGTTCTCACTTTAATATTGTTCATGCTTCGTTGCACCTAAAAGATAGTTTGTTTAAATTTTGCACCCGACTCCGCCATACTACGAACTACGAACGTTTCGCGTAATTAATAGATAAGCAATGCGTAAAGGTACAAGGTAACGCTCTCGGAATGAAGTCAAGTTAGTAATATTCGATGTAGGGAACATTCCCACAGGTGCACGGAAAGGCTGAGCGTTTCCGGCCCCCACCCACCACCCGCACCACCAGCGCCACCACCCTGTTTAACCCCCGCCGAGCTCGTAGTTCCCACAGAGGCCATCGGTCCGTGACGAGCAATTTCGCTAAGTTTTGTGGTTAGGGTCATAGTGCATCGGTCGTTTGTAAGCGCTAAACTTAACAAATTCGATAGTCAAATCACCTGCCAAAGTATTTTTACTGCTTGCATTTTATATTACATGCAATAATGCAATAATAACAACGCGTTTATTTTAGCAATACATTAAAAATTAACTAGGTATTAACTATACTACAACAGTTAATTATTTTTTATTTAAAAATAATAATTATTCTTTGTTTAATTAGTCTATTTTATTATAATACCGTTTACATAATTCATCATAAAAGTTAATCTTCATAAAGAAGCCCTTAATGCTTTTATAACATGCATACGTTTTAATAATGCAACAAATTGATAGGCATGGTTCATCCGACCGCGAGGGTTCAAGGGTTAAATACGTGTAAACATCTCTATCCGACTTAATAACCACTTTGTACAAGGGTCGGTAAGTGCATAGTTATTGAAAATATGAAGCTTCAAGTATTGTTCACAAGTTAATGGCAAGTATTTAATGAATTCGTGGAACTTTTTTAACGGTTCACACGGTCTATTGAGTTTGAAAAATGGGGAATTGATAAAGATTTTAAATACTTTTAAAGTATATTTTTCTTAATGTGAACTCAGTTTGTTCGAAGGTTGTTTATCTCTAAATTCTCGTAAGTGCTGCAATTGTGAACAAATGGACCATAATTTATACATATATTTAATCTAACTTACTTAACGAAGATGGGGGCGACGAATTGCCCTCAATAGAAATCAAATTTAGACACCGCAGGCATCATATTGGGAACGAAATTTAACTGTCATTTTCGAAAACATTATACGTATTGATGGCAACCAATTTAATGTATAAAAATAATTTAATATTTTAATGTTAAGGTAAGAGTAAATGTGGTGTATTTTTTTATTAATATGATTAAAACTTAAAAAAATGTAATTTTTAATGTTTTGGAAAAATACTTTATATTCTTTTTTTTTCTATCTTTATGTATTATTTTTTTTATTGTCTGTGAAATAATTTAAATAAAGGTTCTTTATATGCAGAGAGGTTATATTGAGCAGTCTCTGAGCCTAGCTGGCGTGATTGCGGTTAATCAGGTGGTCGAGACGAGATTGCCGGCCACGGGTCAACTAACTTGATTGTCGCGCCCAATTTGTCTCCTGACTAAACAAGATCGATTATTTTAAATTAATTTCAATATATTTGTTTTCTCATGTCCCATTTAATTTATATTTTAAAAATTACTGAGTTATGCACATCTAGTCAATAAGGAGGCGAAATTTATATAAATTTATTTAATTAAACTTAGATAAACTTAAAAATGTGCAAAAAACATAATCGACTTGGCTGCCAAAATAATGTAATAGTATCTACTCGATATGTTAATACATTAAGTTTATCATTTTCCAATATGAACTTTAAGCCACATTTAAGATAATATATATGAGTTTTAATTAATACTTTTTGCGTGTATAGTTGCGGGCGAACTCTAGTTTGAATCTATACTAATATTATAAAGAGGCGGAGTTTGTTTGTTTGAACGCGCTTATCTCAGGAACTACTAGGTAATCTGATTTGAAAAATTATTTTTGCATTAGATAGCCCGTCTATTGAGGAAGGCTATAGGCTATATATATTATCCCACAAAAATGAACGTTTCCCGTGGAATAGATTTGTTTCTCTCTAGAGACGAACCCGAAGCGAAGCGAGGGTAAGTCGCATTAAATATTTGATGAGCAAGAACAAAGTACTGTTTAGTTACATTGACTAAAGCCCGCGGCTGTAGCAAACACTAATAGTGCTGGGTGTCAATTGCACTGCGGGATCAACTGGGGTCGGCTCTAATTTCTATCTCATCTTCGACCCTCTTAATAGGTAAGTGGACACCCGCATTCACGCTAAATAACTTTAATGTAGATTTTGTTTTACCATAGCATTTAAAGTGCAAGCACGTCGGAATTCAATTTATTCAGGATCGTTCTCATCAAGAACATGTTTGTCTCGAAATGTTATGATGGGCCGTTTGAGATTTTGAACGCTTTTGCTCGATGCGCAAACAAACATAGCAACAATGGATGCTTCGCCGAAGCGCGTGTGACGCGGGAATCGATTCAAATGTGGAACAATGCTTGTATAACAATTCGGAGTGTTGATGCAAACAACAATGTTGTAGGTTCGGTACATATAAGCTTTTGTATAATTTGTCTAACTATTATACAATGTTCGTAAGAAACAAATTGTTTGAATGTATGACGTTTAATTTGCGTGCCAACGATAATTTTAACAATCCCAACCCACATTTACGCATATTGGTTTTTATTTATGCATAGTATTTAACCCTATCGTAAATAAATACCCTAATTTATGATATTAATTATAATAATATAATGATTTATTAAAAATTCTAAAATAAAAATTATATATTATCGTTTAAATTGTGAATTTATTAATCTGTGGTAAGCTAACAAGCTAACAAGTAGCATAGATAATGTAGCGACGCTCGTCCCGTCCCAAGTGATTTGACCTTAGACCGTTCAATTAAAACGTTATGGACGGTGGGGCGGTAGTAATAAATGTTTGTACAATAGGTAAAATCTCGATGTTTGTGTATATTGTTTTGAGTTTAATTACTTCTTTCTTATATGTTTTACATACTATTGTTTTTAAAGATTAGTAAGTGAGAGAAAAAGTCTACAGATATAAAAATTAATTAGCTATGCGTCACAATACATTAGGTATATTTTTTTTGTTTTGAAAGTCTATTTGTATACCTACTGACTTTTTAATGTTTTGTTAACGTAGCAATTTCCATTTTTAAAGATATCCAAAGTGTTTTATATTTTATTAGACATCAACAGTGTAATAAGTATGTATATGTATTCAAAAACTAGCGACTTACGATTTTGTTCGCAATTTTATAGGACTTAATTTTTTGCGCGGAACCCTAATTCTTTTTTTTAATATAAAAATAGCCTAAATTACTCTTTATAACTTCAGCTATCTGCCAGTTTAAGTCCCGCCAAAATCGATTAAGCTGTTTCGGAGAAAGCCGGAACAAATAGACAAACAGACACACAAAAAAATTAAAAATTGTATTTTTCTTACAAGTACCGTAAATTATAATTTCCTATGCATTTAGTTAAAAGTTGTTATTTTTATTTATGGACCGATTGAAATAAAACAAACAATGTCAAATGAAGCTTACAAGCAGACAAAATTCTAAAAATCATTGTCTAGGGTTCTATTGCGATAATAAAGATCCATTATAACAGTTTTTCTCAAATATCATCCATGTACAACAACGATCAGTTACAATTTTATATAAAGTTACTAGCGACTCTCCCTCGCTTCTCTTGGGTTGGCCCCTAGTTTGATTCCCCATACAAACTTTCATCCCCATTTTCACTCCCTTAAGGGATGATTTCCGGGATAAAAAGTCTCAAACTATCTTTTTGGCAAATTTTATCTAAAATGGTTCAGTAGATCCAGAGATTACCCCTACAACGTCACAAACTCACAAACTTTCCTCTTTATAATATTAGTACCTATAGGTGATGTATAGATATAAAGTATGTTTCATGTAAGTATAGTAAATCTTGTTGCAATTACGCATTATGTGTTTTATAACTAATAAGGTGCGCATAAAAAGTTAATATAAGTACTGACTGTTACAGATATACCTCGTTTCAGTCCTCAAGCTCATATAAGGACAGGCTGGTTACATTGAAATGTGTTAATTTAACAAAAAACATTCGCTTTTTCAATTCCACACTACATTTAGGTTTAAGTATGAAAAACTGTGCTCTCGAGTAAATTATTGTGGCCTCACAATGTAGGATAAGTCAGTTATTCACAAGGGTGTCCCCATTTTAACTTTTAAATCTACATATTAATGAATGTTATACGATAAGACTGTACTGTAAATATGCCAAGAAGCCATTACCGAGCTGATAAAATTGTTTTTTTTTTAAAGATTAAAAATGACAAGCAACTTTGCAGTGACTACATTTTGAAATGTCACTTGAATTATGAGTATATTTGTGTAGTAAAATGCAAATGGTGTATGAATTACGTGAGGTAAAGTTTTGAAACGTTATAAAATATATTTTTTCGTTCAACAATCGGGACAGAGAATTGGCTCTTGCTATCGGAATTTTTGGCGTTGATTTGGAGTGGGTGTTCTGAAAAGTTAGGTAAATGAGATTACGAGGCGTGCACACGACCGATGTGAAGTGTGGGGTGGGCTGGCCGGCTATTGGCGAACGCCTCCCACCGCCCACGCATGCGCAGCGCGCCGCCTGCGAGAAAAATCTTCGAGAGGAAAACTCAGTTTCCGAGCCATGGACATTCAAAATTTTATGTTTGTTTTATTACGTGGGCGGCATAATAGCTGTTTTGCATCTTCTCAATATTGCATGAAATGGCAACCACAATCTTTACGAGCGAGTGACTCGACTTTTTTTTGGTTGTCGCGCAATAAATGCAATGACAACGGGTTATGCAGCCTGTAAATATATTATTAGTATTCATTCTATACCGAAAAACTGATCACTATGATTGCGCTATTATTTTGTTATCGTAAATATTTAATAGCATTTCTTCGAAATTTAGGACGTTGCATTAGAATTTATTTTCAAATTTACATTAGTGATTGTAACATATTAAAACATAAGACGGGTTATATTATAGGGGATCATTAGCTATGCAAATGAATGCGATTTCAGTACTTTTGTATGTTAATTTGGTCGGTTTAGGGTTAAGTTCAGTGTCGCAGCCATTTTATATAACATTGGATTTAAGAACAAAGGCGATACAATTTTAACGTTATAATGTGGAAATATGTAGATAATTTATCATATTTAATTTTCAATGAAGTGCATACCAATTATAGGATATTAGAATAATTTCCAAATCACAATAGACCAGAAATGGTCGCAGTGACACGTAATAGCCGCAAAACAAATAGGATATTATGAAATAAAACGTAATAATTTAAAACAATTGCTACTAAAAATGGGTAGGTGTGTAGTATTTGCACACCCTATACCTAAGCAATTTTTTCAGTGCAGGTTCAACAACGAGCTGCAACATGAAGTTTCTTACATATCACTTGTACCTATATCTAATATTGAAATTATAGGTATAGAAAAATATGCATATATAATGATGCTTATTAAATTTAAAGCCAAAATGCAATATTATGTAAAACATAAAATATGAATAATAAAATTTCCGGTTTCAAATAACTACTTAATAAAGAATATTTTTCTAGTAAATATAGAAACATAGAACGTGAAGTCGCAACGATATGATAAATTATTATTATTTTGTTAGAAATAATCACATAATTGTATAGTAGGTATAGATGTAGGTATATTTAACTTTGCTATAATTTAAATTTTAAATATAGGTGCCTAATTTAGTCTTGTTATAATTCCCGTTACGGAAATAGGCCACTACGTGTCACTGTGCCATTAGGGGCTATTAACAGCATGTTAGCGCGTTCACTGAAAATATTACTACCGTTGCATCTGTTTTATTCATAGTCTGATGGACAGATATGCAGGTAGCAAGGACCGAGGTGTGTGTCCTATAAATGTATTTACTCGTATCTACTTAGATTTGATTTACTAAAATGTAGAGATGCACTTTATATAGTTTAAAGTGGTCAAATTCGTTAGCTTATGAAATATTTTATTTTTCAAATACTTCAGATAAATAACTTGAATACACTGCGCAGTTTAAAGATTCATTTATATTTGATGCGTCATGTGATATTTATTAATGCATTTTTTATGAAAACATAATAAATATACCGTATATGTATATCTGTAATTGCGGATGTGGGTAATTTAAAATTCGATATTCATTAACTTTAAGCTAAAATTGGGATCTTATTATTTATGTTTCTCAAGTCATAACAATTCAATATAGAATGCTACGATGTTTTTTATATATAATTATTAAAAATAAACATAAATATTAAACTGATTATGCTAAAACACAACATTTGGATAAAAAATCGCAAAAAATATAATATGTCCCTTTGTTTATCTGAACGCAACATGCTCGTTAGAAATAGTGAGTCACCATCACGGTTGGCTGATTGCGAAAATTTGACAATTGTTCGTCTAAATTTTAAGGAAGAAATGCAATTTTTTAACTAAAGTAACTTATCATTGTCGAATACGAAACGTGTACGGGCTTTCAATTTTTAATAATTATTATTTTTGTACCTATTTAGCGACCACCTCAAAGTTCAAATCCTTAAACAAACCTTCGTTGGTTAAAACTTTGTACCTATAATGTTGCTTGTTAGTGTTGAGAACAAGCGTGACCGGGAAACAAGAAATAGTTTATTTTCAGCCAATTGTGGTTCCGTGAACCTGAGTTAAATAAACAATTGATTGGTGATTCATGTATACCGTGATTTATATTTTTGTACATGTTATTTTATTCCTCGATTTACGACGACAGTTTTAAGTAAAAAGTTACAATATTTGGAACATCCATGTTACACCTATATATTACAGGTTAAATAACTTTAACTAATAAGTTTAAAGCCATTTAGTAAGACATATAGGGAAGCGATATTTAGGTTTTTTTGTAAACAATAAAGAATACGTAGTGGATATACATATGATGGCAATATGTTGCTCAAATCAATCATTTTCGCCTGCATTGGATCCGGTGCGTAAGTATTATTAAATATTGTAACTTTTAGTATGGTAGGTACTATTTTTAAATTCTTACAAATCTAATATGCATTCGTGTCGTGACCATTTAAACAATGGAAATATATACCACCAAACTTAATTTCCACAACTAGAGATATACATTTATGAAAATGTTTGGAGTTGTTTGAAATCGATATTAATTGTGCAACAGACATGTTGCTACGAAACGCATTGAGTGAAAACATAAGCAATTACTGGAAGCACCCTAAATGGGGTCTCTTATCTGTAGCTATTGTTTAACACGCTTTTTTCATTCCCACGCTCGTTGTCGACCGCGCTGATAACGCTCTACCTGTATCCGTACCCAATCGTCTCAAGGAATTCTGAATAATACTTAAAGAAAATAGGTCTTGTCTAGGACATCCAATGACTATTATTCATTACACAGATGTAGAATATAAGAAACTTCTGCGTGAATTAATATTTTTGTACGTTGCTTTTGTAAGGTTACATCGTGAACGTGAAATGAACGTTGCATACATTATCCAATACTACAGTTTTGTTATATCTATTTAGTAGTGAGACCAAACATTATGCATTAAAATAAATGAATAATAATTAATAATTATAATAAAAAATATTCCTCAACTACAATATCATATTCCTTTTGTGACAAGAGAATATGCTTTGTTGAATTTTAAATGAAATGGCATCAAACAAAGAGAGTCGGGAGTCAAGTGCAAAATTCGCCGGCGACCCACGCATATTAGAAGGACAGATATATTGCAATATGTATGAGAGCCGAATCCATTATCCAATGACGTACTGCAATTACCCATTTAATGTAATTTGGGCCATTGTAAATGTGTCCAGCTCTTCTCGTACATTCTCAGCGTCACTCACTCAAAAGCACCAATTAACGAAATCACAAAGGAGCAAACACACGATGGACACAAACTGATCGCGGGCATTCGTGCAGACCGGGCATTTCAAATTCGATATCGGATATCCAGAGTTTTCAGCGGCAGGCTGTGAGTGCGCGCGCGTGCGTGTCTGCGGCCGGTGCGCGACTACTCGCTCAATGGGCGCCGGCGGCGGGGCGAAGCTCACGTCTCGCGGCTCACTCCCAGCGAGCTTACGAAAATCACCAATTGCGTCTGTCCCCTCATTAAACGATGCTCACTTTGCATGCACTATATTGTTAATACCCGCAGGACTACTCGAAAACGATTGCAGATATCATTTCTAATGCTTAACCTGAGCGAGATTTGAAGAGCTTTGAAAGCTGTTCGTTGTTGTACATCCGGTGCCACCTGCTCGCACTCGACATGAGGCAACACGTTAGAAGGAGATAAAGTGATCGTTTAGCAAACAGACCGGATGGCGGACTCGGTCATGAATGAATGCGCTGTCCTTGTCTGTCGTGTGTATTTACGTAACGCAGTCTCGCTCGGCTACAGGTTGTCGCCGTAGAGGAAGTGAAAGGGACGGGAGGCGGCGTAGTAAATATTGCTCACCACCGGGAGTATTTCTAAGGGTTTTCAATTTTTTGTACGGTCACAAAAGGTATCCAACTTCATTCATAGATTTAGTGTAATCTAATACATCTAAGTTATTAGGTAAAAAACATTAACATTGTAGTCTATTGCTTTAGCAAGCATGAGAAGTCGAAGATTGAAAATTGCTAAATTATTGTTGAACGAGTTCATAGTATGATTTAACAATGATAATATTCACTTTAGTATTTGTTTTAGAAGTTTGAGTTGAGAAAGTTAATAATAATAATTGGACGATTTGTATATAGAATGTGTTATTACCGTCATACCGTGCCCTATGAGTTTTTTTTATTAGAAGTTACACTTTAAAACTATAACAAAATTACTTCGATTATTGGACTACGGGTACGATGATAATGTTTTTTTAAATTGTATCCGTAACGTATAATTTATTAATTAAAATATTTATTAAAACCTGTTCACAATCGACAAAACATCTTATAATACACAATAAATATATACTTAATCAAATTAATAATATAACACTTTTTTTAAGTCAAAAATATTTTTTACTAGCATTGCCCGCGGCTCCGCCCGTGCTTAGATGACTAAAAAAACAAATTCTTAGGTTTATATATTAGTATACTCTTATATTGCAGTTTTTGTATTTTTTTCTCAGAAATGAGATATTTTCCTGCGGTAAAAAGTATCCCAAATGTTGAAATCCCTCCAGTGGTTTTTCTGTGATGCGGTAACAGACAGACAGACAGACAAACATTCTAAAAACTATAGATTCGGCCTCTGTATCGATAATAATGTTTATTTCAATAAGATTTTTCAAAAAATATTTAATGTGCAGATTCGGCTTAGTTACAATTTTATTATATGTAAAGATGTATTGCACGACTTATTAAAATTTAATTAAGTACATACAGAAAAATCAATGTGTAATGTGTATCAATTAAAATTTTAATAAAAGTTGTATTAAATTATGGCATTGATTCTCAGAGAAGTGAAAGGAAACCATAAAGTAACTTAGGTAATGTTGAGGAACACATAAAGAAGGGAGGATATTTAAGATTCAAAGATCGTGCGAAAGTGCAAAAGCTCTGCAAGAATACATTTATGACTCTATCGCGTAAAAATCAGTTTGTTGGTTTGGAAAATAATGTACTTACTGCTTAAAATAAAATATTTAATAAAACTATATAACGCTGGTGTGGTCTCCGTATTAACAATATAATGAAATCATATTAATTGACTTGACAAAGTATTAAAATAAGAATGTCGATATTATAAGTAAAACCTCTAAATATTTTTATATAATATTTGAAAATTTTAAGGTTCTTTTAAAGTTAAAGAAATCAGTTACTAAAATGAGAAAATGTTACAGTGCCGAATAATGTACCAGCTCTCAAAAATGAAAAAAATAGGTGTTCTTCTAAGTTCCGCGTGACGCTTAGGCGCGGCTCTCCATTGTCGGTTATCTGTAGGCGCGGTACAAACCAAGCGTGTCAATGTTTGGCTCGTGCTCGTGGACAAGGTAGAGCAAATATCGAAATACATCATTCCTTTTATATAATATAGACCATTTGTCATAAGTTGCTTTGTTATTTTTTTCTGTTATAAGACATTAAAAATTTTTTCTTCAATGATGATCTGAAATTTTTGGATGTATGGGCCAAGTCAGTCTTTATTGGTAGCAAGCTCAAAAATTTTAATATGTAATTGTAATACTGTACAAACTAATTATAAACTGTTGTATTTGTTGTAAAACAGTCACAATAATAAATATTTTAAAAAATTTAAGGTAGTAAAATACATACATATATGAAATCTATTTGTATGAACAACTAGAACTGCTAAAACTTCTTATAAGTACATATAGAGACATTAATGCAGAAAATATTTTAAACGCACCATTTATAGCTCGTACCTTACTCAGCCATTTGCAAGTAACAATAGGATTTCTAAGATTTCTTAAACAATTCATGCTTTTTTTCTATTTAAACTCGTCATCGGTTTCAACATATTTATTTTTAGTATTCTTAAAGTGCTTTAAACTTCTAAAGGTCCTGTTGGTTTACCACGTCTTTTTGTGAAAAAAGTGATTTACATTGAATTCAGCTATGATGAAATTTATTCAGTATGCGTGCTAAATCAAAGCTGCGAATAACTAAACTTCTTTGTCTCAACATTACACAATAACGGGTTGCTTTCAAAAGTTTGTTTGACAAATAGGTTTTAACGCAACAATCACTTTCACTAAGACAAACAGAGGATGTCGACTTTATTGTCACCGTACTTGGATATTTAGATTGGTTCAACATTGTTTAAGTAATTTTTTAAATAACATGGCTAAAACAACCAACCATATAATACAAGGATCGTTGAGTGAACAATATTTATTCACATTTATTACATAACTACTTATTTATTAAATAATTAAAAAAAAAACATTATTATCAGGAACCTATTTAAAAACAGAGATTAAAACATAAACATAGGTATTTACCTAGAAGTTAAGACATAAAATTGTGTTAATATTCACAATTACTATGGTGAATAATAATTTATAATCAAATTGTAAAATTTATGATAGGTATTATTACAATTTAAACAGTTCTAATTGAAGATAAATAATATTAATAAATGTATGTATTTAATAATAAGAGAAGTGCATCTCGCTACAAATCAATGGGATCTTGTCGAAGCATGTAACCTCTGCGCGCCAGGTGCTACGCGGGATGTTCCTCCCCCTCTCGCCCATCCCGCTCCCTCTTTCAAACCCTCACATGTGTAGCCTTGGAGGAAGTCAATACACATACTTGCACATTGAAATCATGTGCATGAGTGTTTCTGTAAATTATTAATGATCTGCATTTGTATTATACGCGTCTTAAGTTTTATAAAAATATTTGCCGTCTTAAGTTTTATAAAAATATAATGCCGTATATAAATATTCACTTGAGTGACATTCAACTTCTTACATTGCAATAACATTAGGATTTCTTTTTAAAAAATAAAGCTCATATTTTTAGTAAATATTAAATGTTATATTCTGGTCATATTAAAAATAAAAAAAATACATATGTATGGTATATGAAAATTATATCTCGTTGGAAATGCGTAATATTTAAAAAAAAATAGTTCAATAAAAGCATTCATTTATTATCGATATGGCTAGCCAGTTCAATTATCCTAGGAATGTAGACGAAATTTCAAGCCTGGTATATAATTGTTCATGTCCACTGTTCACAAAGAATATTATCACCAGGTAGCGAAGGTAATACAATGTGTCCTTCCGGTACATTTTCAAACATCTCTAATCAAGTAGAACTAGATTTAAACAGTATAGGTTAGAGTTAAAATTCCATTGACAAATTCGACATTTTGGGTGATAGTTAAAACAAGAAGATACATATTTGAACGTAAACGCTCTTTTGACTAATCTAAAATACATTATATTGCTGAAGACTTAAGGTCCATATTTAGGGTGCAGAGCTCGGAGGTTGTAGTTTACTCTGCAGGGTTACCTAGCATCCGGTGTAAGTCGATACCGTGGGGAAACAGGGATCATTTTAAGGCATAAACCACATCATAATAACTGTAAAAATGTTGCAACATTGTCAATCATATGAATTATTAAAATAGATCTAGCTATAATTTACCAAATATTACTAGCATAAAAAAGCTGCCCAAGTCAATGATTATAAATAATTTAGATTATTATTCCGATGGCAAATAATTATTTCATACTATAAAAACTACACTAGATCAAGAACTGGTTTCTTTGTAACTTTAATTTGATATTAACCAAAACGAATCTCGTGTATCGTTCTTAATCTTAAAAATGGCTATTGATTAATATCAACATATAGAAAAAATACCTATAACAAGTTTTCGATGTTTATTAAACTATTCATTTCGAAATAAAATTTTCGAAGCTTCTGGTCTTAAGTTAGATATTAATTTTAGTGATAAATCTCAGGAGAATTTATTTTCTTGAAATCCTATATCTTTTAATTTACGTAAATGTAATAATGATCATTAAAATATTCGTCAATTGTATGTCATTTACGAATGCTCTCAGTAATGAAAAGAACCGCGGCCTATTCTGCGCTATACAATCCTCGCGGCCTCGGCGCATTATTCACCGGCAGTCTAGACTTGAATCTCAAACAGTAAAATGTCGAACGGAACCATAAAAAGTTGAGTAAAAGGCGTCGAAAGAAGGCAGCGAATTTTGAGCCAAACCAGTTTAATGAGGGTCGTATTTAAATACGAAAATAAAGCGGTTCCCACGGCGTCGTTCGCGGGAACGGAAGCCTCTTCGATGTCGCGGCGTCTCCGCGCGACTCTTCGTATCGCGCGATCATCGCCTGCGCGCCGCCTCCCGCGCCTGATCCGACGCAGCCTCCCGGCCCAGCCGGCCAGCCTTGAGCGAACCCTCAATGCGACGTTGCCTTACAACGTGACTAGCAGTTAATACTTTTTGCAAATTCGATCACAGGTCAAATTAAGATGGGTGAAAACACATGTGAACAGACAGAGACTGACGAAATCATACGCCGAATATCAAGTTTTACAATACGGTTATTGACGTGTTGTAGTAGAGCAAGCGTGAGAATATTTTGCAAGTAAACACGGAGACATACATATATAAAGACATATAAACTTTAGTTAGGTATAACAGATCAAGACAGTTTATATATTTTTTTAATTATCACTTCATTTATTCATCCATACTAATGAATATTTAAAGCATTTTTTGCACATTAACTGATTAAGATAAAGTAGAACAAAATATATTTTTTAGTATAAGTTATGAATTCCGAGTAATACTACGTATATAGTTTGTTGAGATTTGCTTCTGAGATAACAAGAGATAGGTAGGTACTACTAATTGAAGGATGTCAGCCGATAGGTAGGTATATCGATTTAATAAACACAATATTATGTACGTCCACGAGCCTGCTTGTATGTGGTTTTGTCATGTAGTTTGGACATTTCAGTTCTTTTGTAAGACTTTATTTATGACTACCGAATCTTCATCGCTTCGCTCGAGTTCTGCCCTAGCTTGCTTACCAACACAAACTTTCATCCCCATTTTCACCCCCTTAGGGGATAATTTGCGGGGTAAAATATCCTATGTCCTTCCCAGGGTCTCAAACTATCTTCTTACCAATTTCATCTAAATCGGTATATATAGATCCAGAGATTACCCCCTACAACCTTACAAACTTATAAACTTTACCTCTTTATAATATTAAAAAAAAAAGAAAAGAATACCCTTTGCTTTTTGAAAAAAAGAAAAAGATACAAATCGTAACTTTAGGTTACCTTTCCATCTCTTCAATAGTTCTATGCAAGGCAAGTTACGATTAATGAAAACCTCATCAAATAATAAAAAATAAAATTGTGCTCTCGGACCGGAACTCTTATTTATTTACATACGTATTAACTTTATATGTTTGCTCAGTTTGCTACTTCTTAACCATAAAAGCTAATGTAGTTAATAAATTCTTATAAACGTTTTACCGCATAATTAATCGATCTAATTTAATTAATATAATTAGTTTCTCAGCTCTTCGATGGAACATAATTATAAGTATAAGATAAGATGTATTGGAGGTATGTAAATTTATTTTGGTATTTATCTTTAGATAATGATGCTTTAGATAGCGACAATGTTCTGTGAATTATAATGACAACCTCACACTACTATTATAAACGTGAAAGTTTGTATGTGTGTAATTTGTACGTTTGTTACGCTGGACGAATTTCGATGAAATTTAGTATACTCGTAGGTACTAACAGATCACAGGCTATAACTGTCAGTTATAAAATTTGCCAAAATGTTGCGCTGCATTTAGGTACGTACCTACATATAATATTTACAATAGGTATCTACAGAAGGTTACATTCGAATAAAGAATAAGTCGAAAAATCATTCCATATTAGGTTACTTCTTTGTATTAAATACATAATATTTTATACTAAAATAACAACCTATTTATGAAAGTTTTTATAATGCTTTAAAATTACTATTTTCTTGATTAAGTAATAATTTATAAAATTGTAGTTTTAATATTTGTTTATAAATTGTTTTACTTTGCATTCCAAGAAATTCTGAAAGATTTACTTAACAATATATACAAGTTTTACACAAGGATGATCTTTCTTTGTTTGACGGCTTTCGATAAAGTCAACATGACCTTAGTCAACGGAACTGACTCTGACGCCTTTATTTGTGTATTTTTACAAAAGCTATTATATATATGTCACAAGCAGACAACTTACGTTGAACTAAAATTTGTGCTTTATTAGTTTGGAAGTGAAAGGTTTTTTACTATTTCTGATATAATTCTTGGAGTCAGAAAATTTCAGTCGGGATGAACCTCTCGAACCAATCCATCTTCACGAAGCATATAAAATTGAATGGTACGTAATGATGTGTGACAGAATGCCGACTTCGCAAGTAACTCGGTTCATTAAATGACGTGAATGATATGCCCATTCAGTGCGCCGGCGCAGATTGTGGCTAGGTGGGGGCCGGAAAGCTGAGCATGAATGAAACGTTTTGACCCGCTTCGCTCGGATATATCTTTAACGCCATGTTTATTTGTACATTATATGATGTTTTCGGTATCAGGAACTGGTTCGATTTGTTATTAATTTATGCGCAAATTAATTTTATCATCCTTTTGCGTATTAATGTTTTTAATTAGATTGTTATGATCTGCCGATAATGCTTGAAAAGGCCTTTCTAAAAAAAATTATGTACTTATCTGGATTTTAATTTGGTACCTATTTCACTACAAGATTTTAATTCTGTTTCTGTCTTGTGTGACTCTTTTAAATGCCGGGTAATTAATTATAGTAATATGTTTCTTAAACATTGAAAATAAAAGAAACGTTATGAGTTAGCTTACAGTTTGCCATATGTATACTGTGTGTATTTGCCCAGACAACACGTCGGCTCGTCACCACCAATAATATTTTTGTAAAAAAACTCACATAATGACTCAATGTACATTGTTACTCATTTATCTTGGTATAAAAACTATTTTCTTGAATATTATCATATTTAACATCGAGGAAGTGCGATAATGGTCAATTTGAAAATAAAACAAAATATAAAAAATACTATCTGAAGACTAAAATTTAACATCTACAAGTGCCTATCCCTTAAATTACTTTGGTCTCTTTGTTTTATGAAAATCTGTTTAATTAATACATTTATCTCATCAGAAATTCAATTAAGAAAGAATTGGATTAAAATTTCAATTAAGTTTTGGTAGGAAAAAGATTTAATCTCCGATTATGAAAACGATAGTGTCTTTGATATACCTACTTAGGCATACTTCACATACTACAAGTCGTTAGTTTTTCGATTGGATCATTAAATTAAACAATATTACGTGTCTTTATTTGGTAACCTACCTACTACGTAATTAAAACCCGAGGAACCGAAAATTATAGGTGCGTTATATCTACTGTTAACGATACTATGCAAGTTATAAAAATGCCATAAAATTGAAACTGTAAATAAATTTAAAAGTTAGAATAAATAAAATACAATAATATAATATACATAATAGTATGTTAAAATATACTTTTTAATTAAATGAACTCAACTTTTAATGAAAATCAATACTAGAATTCCAAAATTTGCAACGGCTTTTATAAACCAATGGAGTATAACGGTTAGTTACCTATAAAGTGATCGTATTATTATTAATGTTATTCTTTGTTTATCTATACAGATAAACAAAATTTAACTTGTAATGTCAAAATAACAGCTTTTTACTAAATGCATATGAAGGTATATAAACGGTACGTATAAGAAATACATAAATTTAAAAAAAACATGTCTGTCTGTCTGTTTGTTCGTTTCGGCTAATCTACGAAACAGCTGGACTGATTATGAAGGGACTTTCACCGTACATAGCTGATGTTATAAGGAGTAACTAAAGCTACTTTTATTTTAGAAAAAGAATTATGGTTCCGTATAAATCGTACCTAGAGAAGCACCCGAGTGAAGCGAGGGTAAGTCGTTAGTGTTAAATATAAGAGGTCAGTATAGCGGTCAACTGGTCCGATCGTGTTGCAAGATATTTTATCATTTTTGTTCAACATTCGTCGCGAACGCCTTCGTGAGAACCGACAAGTGAACCATTTTGTCTTGATATTTCTTTATTATAAATGATAATGGACGAGGAGATCGACTTACGTTGGCCTCAATCGTGGCTTTCATCGCACCCATCAAAACTTGAGTGTAAAAACAGTGATTTGTTACAAACCTGAATTTGGCGGTTTTAGTGTCTAATGAATATATTATTCGATTTACCGTATACTCTGTTTCTTGTGTCGTGAGAAAATTGATTTGCTAAGATCAAACATTGCTATATGAATGATATTGATATGTTTTATTCATCAGTACATTAATATTTATATTAAGCGAATGAGGACAGAATTAAGAACAGCGGGGTCTACAGGAGATACAATAATTTAATTTTGTTAACAGGTCTTTGTAAATTAAACAAATAAAACAAGAAGCTTCTTTATGCCTTAATAAATTCTGAATGCATGTACTTAGGGCTTTTAAAGTACAAATTGACCAATTTGCCGAGGGTAAATGGTGTTTTCAGAGAGTAAACGAGAATGATATACCTATATAGGTACTTATATGTAAGTAATAATAATTGTAGAGGTAATCTATATCGGTGTAGATATTATTTAATAGATATTATGTAGATTTAAGGACAACAAATTTATTAACTTTTACTGTCATTGACCTCAATGATTACCACATATTTTGTAATGCAAAATAAATATTATTTCTATATTGAATAATATATATTTAAAGAAATTGCGAATATATGTATAGTTTATGTATTTTATGTTATCATGTCTATACTTATTTGTGTTTCTCCGATATTTTACATATCAAGAAGACACGCAACAACCTAGAAGCAGGTACTGTTAGGTGGACAGGAAGCGTCCGACTAAAAAACCAGAAAATCAACATCTCATAAGACACGGGAATATCGCCTTCCGCTAATTATTTACGATATATTGCGTAACGGTGAAACGACGGGAAGGAGGTTGAAAAAAACACGCTCTACAGGACGTGGAGTCACCAACAATATATGCAAACATATGCAAAAAGCAACCTAAACTTAATGAAGTAGAGTTCAGTTTTAAATTGTCATCGGAACTGCGACCAGCGCTTAGAATATCTTTATTCATATTCCGAACGATCTCGATAAAGTAGAAGCGGAGGCTGATCAATCGATGAGTGCACCTAATTTGTACTTTATCGTTTGAGTAATACGAGTCAAATTTCTACTAATGCAATTGACACACCGGGCCGCTTATACTGGTTCATAATTAAAGATACCATAGCAGGAACCAGGAAGAGTGTCGTACTATCTCAACAGTTAGCCGGAAGTCGCTCGATCTGTGAGTTCATTCATAAAT